CATTAGCATGGTAAATGGTCTTCCACCCCCTCACTTTCCATCTGGAGGTGTCTTTGGGTCTAAAATGAGTCTCTTGTAGACAGTGTATCGATGGGTCTTGTTTTTTTATCCAATCTCATACCCTGTGTCTTTTGATTGGGGCATTTAGCTCATTTACATTCAGGGTAACTGTTGAAAGATATGAATTTAGTGCCATTGTATTGCCTGTAAGGTGACTGTTGTTGTGTATTGTCTCTGTTCCTTTCTGGTCTATGTTACTTTTAGGCTCTCTCCTTGCTCAGAGAACCCCTTTCAATATTTCTTGTAGGGCTGGTTTCGTGTTTGCAAATTCTTTTAGTTTTTGTTTGTCCTGGAAGCTTTTTATCTCTCCTTCTATTTTCAATGACAGCCTAGCTGGCTATAGTATTCTTGGCTGCATATTTTTCTCATTTAGTGCTCCGAATATATCATGCCAGTCCTTTTTGGCCTGCCAGGTGTCTGTGGATAAGTCTGCTACCAATCTAATGTTTCTACCATTGTAGGTTACAGACCTCTTGTCCCGAGCTGCTTTCAGGATCTTCTCTTTGTCTCTGAGACTCGTGAGTTTTATTATTAGATGTCGGGGTGTTGACCTATTTTTATGGATTTTGAGGGGGGTTCTCTGTGCCTCCTGGATTTTGATGCCTGTTTCCTTCCCCAAATTAGGGAAGTTCTCTGCCATAATTTGCTCCAATACAACTTCTGCCCCTCTCTTTCTTCTTCTTCTGGGATCCCAATTATTCTAATGTTTTGCTTTATGGTGTCACTTATCTCTCGAATTCTGCCCTCGTGATCCAGTAGTTGTTTATCTCTTTTTCTCAGCTTCTTTATTCTCCATCATTTGGTCTTCTATATCACTAATTTTCTCTTCTGCCTCATTTATCCTAGCTGTTAGAGCCTCCATTTTTTATTGTACCTCATTAAAAGTCTTTTGGGTTTCGACTTGGTGAGATTTTAGTTCTTTTATTTCTCCAGAAAGGGATTCTCTAGTTACCTCCATGCTTTTTTCAAGCCTAGCTAGTATCTTTATAATCGTCATTCTGAACTCTAGTTCTGACATCTTACTAATGTCTGTATTGATTAGATCCCTGGAAGTTGGTACTGCCTCTTGTTCTTTTTTTTGAGGTGAGTTTTTCCATCTTGTCACTTTGTCCAGAGAGGAATAGATGAATGAGAGAATAAAATGCTAAAAAAAATGCTAAAAGGGTAACAATGACCCCAGAAAAATATACACTAAACAGATCAGAAGAGACCCGAAACTTGGGGGGAGGTGGGGGGAAGAAAGGGGAAAAAAATATGATTAGGCTGGTGAATATAATAGAGCCACACACTAGATTTTGGGTGTACTTTGGTCTGTTAGAAGAAATCACCTCCCAAAATTTTAAAGAAAGAAAAACTCATATATATACAGAAATAAGGGTAAATATGATGAAGGGATGGAATATGACTGTAAAGATGAAAATTTAAAAAGATTTTTAAAAAGGAATTGATAAGAATTTGGTTGAAAAAAGAATGAAAAAAATTTTTAAAAAGAGAGAATGTGATCAGGCAGGAGACTAGGACAACAACATCATACACTAGATTTAGGGTATATTTTGGTCTGTTAGAAGAAACTGTATCCCAAAATTTTAAAGAAAGAAAAACTTATATATATATACAAAAAATAAGGTTAAATACAATGAAGAGATAGAATATGACTGTAAAAATGAAAAATTAAAAAAGATTTTAAAAAAGGAATTGATAAGATGTTGGTTGAAAAAGGAAAGAAGAAAAATTGAACAAAAAAATAGAAAAAGAAAAAATAAAGAAAATTTTAAAAATTAACCTTGAAAGACTAAAGCATCATGGGAAAAAAGCCATGAATTCTATGTGCTGTATTCCCCCAGCGCTGGAGTTTTGCCCTTCTCATTGATCGGTAAACTTGGTCTTGGTTGGCTGTTCTTGCTGATCTTCTGGGGAGGGGCCTGTTGCTGTGGTTTCCAAGTGTCTTTGCCAGAGGTGGAATTGCCCTGCCCTTGCCGGGTCGGGCTAAGTAATCTGCTCGGGTTTGCTCTCGGGAGCCTTTGTTCCCTGCAAGCTTTCCGTACAGCTTTGGGAGACGAGAGTGAAAATGGTGGCCTCCCAATTTCTGCCCCAGAGGAGTCAAGAACTCGGGGCCCCGCTCCTCAGTGAGGCCCCAGAGAAAAGCAGTCAATCACTCCCATCTCCCTGGTCTCCGGCCACTCTCCATGCTCACCCAGCCTGTGACCGAGCGTTTCTATCTCTGGCACCTGACCCCGTGTGGAGTCTCCAAACCCAGCAGATCCCTGTGGTGCACTCCCACACCACTCCTCCCGGGGGAGGAAGGGGAGTCTCCCCGGATCTGCCACTTGTTGGGTCCCTGCTGGAAGAGCAGTGGCCTGACTGTGCCGCGGATCATGGTTTATGGCAACCCCGAGCTGAGAGTCCACTCCTCGGCTCCGTCTCTGCAGCCAGCTTCCCTGCTCTGATACCTGGGAGCTCTGCCGCACTCAGGCACCCCCGGTCTTTCTGTCAGTCTGGCAGTTTTTTTATAAGATTAAACATACATTTACTTTATGACTTGGTAATTTCACTGCTAGGTATTTATCCAATTAAAAAAAAAGGTGTAAGGATATTAGTGGCAGCTTTATAACAGTCAAAACCTAAAAACAATCTGAATGTCTATCAACCAGTGGGTGGATAAACAATTTATGGTATATCCAAATACAGGGATATTACTAAGCAATATAAAAAATGAACTACTGACACAGGCAACAACATGGATAAATCTCAAAAGCATGATTGTAAGTGAAAGAAGCCGAACACAAGAGCATATACTAGATGATTCTATTTGTTTGAAATTCTAGAAAAGTTATGGTAATAGAAAGTGGGGGAGTGGAGACTGGGGTTGGAAGGTGGGTTGATGGCAAAGGGGGAGGGAACTTTATAGGTTAATGAATATGTTTTCTTCCTTGATTGCACTGGTTGGTTGTGGTTATAGGTGTATGCACCTGTCAAAACTCGCTGAACTCAACTCTTATAATATGGATGTTTATATTGTATTAAATATTTCAACGAAGCTAATTTTATAAAAGAAATACAAATAACTTTTAGACATATGAAAAATTCCCAATTTCACTATAAACAGATAAATGAACATTAAAACTACACTAAGATGACCATTCTCAGCTATCATTTAGTAAAAACACAAAAGCTTGACAATATATTCAGTTGGTGAATTCTTTAAGAAATTGGTTTTTACATGCATTGTGGAAGGAGAGGAAAGTGGTACAATTCTCTCTGAGGAGTATCTGGCAATATCTACCCAAATTACAGATCCATCTACTCTCTAATCCTACAATCCCATTTCTGTGACTCTATCCTACAGAAACACCCACATATGTGTGCAACAGACTAGAAACAACCCAAGTGTCCATCAAAAGGAGACTGGTTAAATAAATTATAGTACATCCACACAATAGAAAGCTAGACTGCTCTAAAGAATGAGGAAGACTTTTTTATATGATATGGAAGGATCTCTAGGAGCATTTTAGTAAAAACAAAAGGAAACCAGGAAAGGAAGAAATCTGAATAAATATTCAAAATTTTTATATTTGAATAAAGAAATACTGAAAGGATAAATAAGACGCTAATCAAAATGGTTACTAAAAATCGCCTTTTTAAAAAAGATTTATTTATTTATTTATTTGACAGAGAAAGAAAGAGAGTAGAAGCAGGGGGAGCAGCAGAGGGAGAGGGAAAAGCAGGCTCCCCGCTGAGCAGGAAGCTCAACATGGGGCTCGATCCTAGGACCCTGGGATCATGATCTGAGCCAAAGGCAGATACTTAAGCGACTGAACCAACCAGGTGCCCCTCAATTTGTTTTTAATTAGAGAACTCTGAGTTTTTTTTTTTTTAAAGATTTATTTATTTATATTAGAGAGAGAGTAGGAGAGTGTGAGCAGGGGAAGGGGCAGAGGAAGAGAGAGAGGGAGAGAATCTGAAGCAGACCCCCCACCGAGCAGGGAACCTGACTCGGGGCTCAATCCCAGGATCCCAAGATCATGACCTAAGCTGAAATTAAGAGTCAGACGGTCAACCAACTGAGCCACCCAGGCACTCTGAGCACTACTTAGTTCTTTGGGAATAGTTTTGGTAAAAGTTACTGAAGTCTTGCCTAGAAATTCCTTCTTTCCTTCCCTCCACTCCCCTCTTCCACCTTCTCTGCTTTTCCTCCCTTCCTTCCTACAAAAATGCACTGCTTCTATGCAAGAGGGTTTTGGAAGACAAGGAAGGATACTAGTTCCTTGGGTCAGAGCTAAGAATCCTATAGCTGTAGTTTCCATGATACCTAAGAGGTCTGGGCTATAGGGCCCAGGGAGCTACAATAAAAACAAGTTCAGCAACAAGGGATGTCACTCATCTTAGGTAAGTAAGAGGAAAGCCCCCCAAAGCAGTCTAGCCCCTTGCCCTGAGTGTCTGACACAGCCCTATCTAAAACATACAGGCTCCTGCTTCATTCCGGCTTGAGGTTGATCACTTTGCCCACCACTTCAGAGGCTGATCATGCTGAAAAGACCAGACACCGTGCACAGCATCTAAGCCTTTCTGGTTCTTTACCATAGTTTATTACTTTTAAGTGTGACTCCAACTACCCACTCCCCCATCATTGGTTGATTCTATAAATTGACTTCATTTTGATGATTAAAAATGCCCAAATTGTATCTTTGTAAGATTCCCTTTTTTTTCTTTAAAAAACATTATAGTCCATTATATTCTTCATATAAATTTTCCCTGTGGGGAAGATGTGAACAGTAACACATCCTCTGTACCCCAGTTACTTCCTCCACTCTAACTGGCCAAGCAATAGAAAAAGGCAATTAAGAGGTGAGGAGAAATGATCAGCACAATCACTCAGTGTACTCTGCAAAAATGCAACTCACTTAAAAATTCTAAATCAGAAAGAATAGACTTTAAAATACTTGTTCTTTCTGTTCAGCACCCACAGTTTTCCCATGGGAGTGGTTTCCAAGTTGTTTATTCTCTTGAGATTCATAAATCTCTCCTTTAAGTCTTCCAACCTTAAATACAAAAGCATTTTCAATATGAGAGTATGGGGTTGGGGAAGTGGTTTGCTTTGTTTTTAAAAGATACAAGTAATACATGAATACATTCTTCATGAAAAAATTTCAAACAACACATAGATATATAGAGTAAAAAGTGAAATTTTCCTTCACATAACCTTACCCCACAATCCCATTTCCCTTTCCAGAAGTAACACTGTTTGGGATATACCCTTCTTGAATTTTATCATGCATGTGTATACATGTACGTGTATGTATTCAATATATAGGTATATGTTGGTATTAAATATGTAAATGTAAAAAGACTAAGACAACTCGAACAGTTGTTGTTTATTCATTCTTTTTATGACTGCATTTTTAAAATAATGATAAAATATACATAATACAAAATTTACCATGTTGACCATTTTCAAGTGCAGAGTTCAGTATTTTTAAGTACATTCTAATTATTATGCAAACATCACCACCATCAATCTCTAAAATTCTTTTCATCATGCAAACTGAAACTCTATGCCCATTAAACAAGAACTCCCCATTCTGCCTTTCTCTTCCCCAGCCCATGGCAACCACCATTCTATTTTCTGTCTCTATGATTTTGGCTACTCTCACTACCTCATAAAAGGGGAATCATACACTAGTTGTCCTTTTGTGACTCACATTTCAATTAGCATAATGTCTTCAAGTTTCAGCCATGTTGCAGCATAGGTCAGAATTTCCTTCCTGTTTAAGGCTGAATAATATTCCATTGTATATTCCACATTCTGTTTATCTATTCATCCCTCAAGGGATACTTGGGTTGCATCAGCCTTTTGGCTGTTGTGGATAACACTGCTATTTACACGAGTATGCAAATATCTATTCAAGTCCCTGCTTTCAATTCTTTGGGTATAAACTCAAAAGCAGAATTGCTTGATCATATAGTGATTCTACATTTACTTTTTAGAGAAAGTGCTATTCTGGTTCCTATAGTGACTGCAGCATCATTTTTCACTCTGAACAACAATGCACAAGCGTTCCAATTTCTCCATATTACCATCAACACTTGTTATTTTCTGTTGTTTTTATAAGAGCCATCCTAATGAGTATGTATTCATTCTTGTAACAAAATTACTTGAAAACTTAGTATAGCCAGGTGCTGTGTGAGACATTAGAGATATGATTGCAAAATGAATATAAACTAAAATTGAAGACATATATCCAGAACTTGGAAGTACATATTAAAAATCAATAAATTAATGGGCGCCTGGGTGGCTCGGTCATTAAGCGTCTGCCTTCGGCTCAGGTCATGATCCCAGGGTCCTGGGATCGAGCCCCGCATCGGGCTCCCTGCTCAGTGGGAAGCCTGCTTCTCCCTCTCCCACTCCCCCTGCTTGTGATTCCTCTCTTGCTATGTCTCTCTCTGTCAAATAAATGAATAACATTTTTTAAAAAATCAATAAATTACTAAAAAGAAATGGTTCAAAAATGTGACACAACTCAAACTTATCCAATAAAATAGGGAAATAATTTCTATTTGGTAAATAAAGTATAAATAATTACCTAAATCTTTATTAAAAAGAAAAGATCCTAAACTGACATAATAGCAATAACATTAGTGTTTAGCATGGGTAGTTAAAATGTATAAAACATAAATACTGATAGACTGCATCTAGGTCAGAGTGTGGCATCTATCTGGGATACTCTAGCTACCAGGATCAGTCCTCACTAATATGTATATAATGCTCTAGTTGCTGATTGTTATGTTATACACATTTAAATAAATTCTAAGAACAAATTATACTAAACAACTTACCACTTCTTCAAGCACTTTTTTTTCTGAGTCCAGTGATCGAACTCGATTTCTTAAAGTCAGAATTTCCTCATCCAGTCTCTGATTATGTTCCCTTGCTTTCTGTAGGTCAACAGAATCTAAAAGAGAGAACAGACACAGTTGGCTCAATTGGATCAAAGTTTTAAATTGAGGGACTAACTTTAAAACCAAGGAAGTGCTATTTCCTGCCTTCTCATCAGTCCTACCATGTCTCTACATATGTGATTCTCTGCACAGGCGAGCTGCTACACTCTCAAGTCCAGCCCTAGAATATTCTACCAACCTATCCAAACAGAACAGAATTTTTTTATTACTCACATCAGACTAATGAGCTGGATATTTTGAGAATAGGATTTCCAGCAATAGAGGCTCTTCGAGGAATTGTACTTTCAAAGCAGTGGAGCCTACCTCCTAAAAGTTACACAACCGAGAAAATGATCTTCCCATCTTGCTTGGGGTCCTGTCTCTCTTACACACCACATATACTCCTAGACACTTTTCTTTTACTCAGCAACAGCAGGGCCCCACAGATGACAAATGGTGAGCCATGAGCAGTGAATGGACAGATTTTCCTAGCTAAATAAAGTTTATGCATCAAAACCATCTTTCTGCCTGCACCACAGCCCATAAAATAGTAGTCAAGTCTGAGCTTAGCACCTCACGGTAAGACCTGCTCTTTCCAGCGCTCATCAGTTTCAGTATTGCAAACTTGCTGCCTGAGACTTTCCTGAATTTGTGGCTGTTTCTTTTGAGCTACTTCTGCTCATATTTCTCTTATTTTTCTTCTGCTTTAAAGTCTCCTTTGTTTTCCTTCTTCATCGCCTTCATTAATTATTCCTTGTGTTTTTTCTTTCTTCATTTTTTCTTTTTTCCACTTCCTATTTTCTTTTCTCCCTTAGTATGTAATTTTTTTTAAATTTGAAAAGTGTTGAAAACACAGCAAAAAGAAAAAAAAATCATTCACAATCCCACCCAGTATGTGCGAGTGGATGTGATATATAATGAGAGACAGAGACAGAGACATTTGGTTTTTGGCCTGTGAAGTTTTTTTTAAAGATTTAAACGATGCTACATAATCTGTCTGCAACTTTACCACTTGTGAGTATGTCATGGATGTCTTTACAGGACAACCCTTATAAAGTCACTTTCCATTTCTCATTTGGAACTATTTTTAGGTTAGTTTTACTGGTTCTTGCTCTTCCTACAAATGGAATCTTAATATACGTATTTTTTGTGTCCGGCTTCTTTTGCTCAATATATATTTTGGGGATTCCATCTGTCATATTGATAATTTATTCCTCTCTACTCTTTAGTCCATCTTATTCATATACCACTTATAAATATATCAGTCTTCATCCAATCTCTCATTTTGTTCTGCACAGTGCACCATTGTCCAAATGTGCCATAATGTGTGTCACTTTTCCCCTACTGAAGAAGATTCAGGTGTGTTGCCAATGCTTTACTCTTATAAACAATTCTAAAATCATTATCCTTGTTTATCAGTCTTTAGGCACTTATGACATTATTTCCAAAAAATAAATCCCCAGAAATGGGACAGCTGGATCAGAGGATATGTGCATTTAGAAAATGTAATAGATATTGCCAAATTACTCTTTAAAAAGATTGTACAAAGTTACATTCTGTGCAATGACACTGCCCATTTCTCCACACTGAATGTTACCAGAATTTCAATTTTCATAAATCTCAAAGATGCATTTGAATAATGGCTTGTTTTAAACACTGATTTATTTATTTGAGAGAGAGAGAGAGAGAGAGTGTGTGTGGGGGATGGCCAGAGAGAGAGGGAGAGAGAAACCCAAGCAGACTCCACACTAAGTGCGGAGCCTAATGCAGGGTTCAATCTCACAACCCTGAGGTCAGGCCTGAGCTGAAACCAAGAGTGGGACACAACCAACTCCACCACCCTGGTGCTCCAAATAATGACTTGTTTTAATGCAATATTGTTTTGCTGATCACAAATGGAATATAGGCTTTCTGTTAAAAAGAAAAACTATACAGTTATGTTCAAAGTGAATATTGTCATCTAACCCTTATTCACCACGCTGACCTAAAATAATATTGTTAATACTTAGTAAATATTCTTCAAAATATTTTATATGCATATTCTTCAGATAAGGGTTGTATTAAAAATATTTAACAACTGCTAAAGCATGGGCCCTCACCTATAAGAACGTAGCTCCAGAGAAGAGTTCTAGAGAACTGCCAAGTATTATCCCTTTAGTGGCTGGGAAGACAAGGGGTGGGGAGGAGCTGGGATTGCTGGGGTAGGTGGTAGACAGCTGAAAGACTCAGGGCAGCAGCTATTTACAACTAATACAAAATTATTCCAGTGTCTTCACAACTTTATTGCCATACATTAATGTGTACCACCTCATAGCAGTCCTGTGGACATACACACACAGACACACACACCCAAAAAATAAAAGCCAAAATAGCATTATACCACATATATTACTCTACAACTTGCTTTTTTCACTTGATAATATATCATAAACATCTATTCACATCTGTGCACATAGATCTATGTCCTTATTAATAGATACACAGTCACTTAGTTAGCCAATCCATTGCGGATAAACACAACTTAATTTTTTTTTTTTTAAGATTTTATTTATTTATTTGAGAGAGAGAGAATGCGAGACAGAGAGCACGAGAAGGGGGAAGGTCAGAGGGAGAAGCAGACTCCCCGCCGAGCAGGGAGCCCGATGCGGGACTCGATCCCGGGACTCCAGGATCATGACCTGAACCGAAAGCAGTCGCTTAACCAACTAAGCCACCCAGGCACCCCAACACAACTTAATTTTGCTACCCCAAAAGTTACTTCTTACTCTCGGTACTTTTACAAGTTCTTCTATAGTCATTAGTGATAATGTAATATCTTTATCTGGTTTTGATATCAAGGTAATGCAGATCTCTTAAAAGTTGGAAAGTATTTTGGCTTCTTCAATTTTCTGGAAGACTTTATGTAAAATTGGTATTATTAATTCTTAAAATTTTTTTAGACATCTGAGCCTAGAGTTTTCTTCATGGGAAGATTTTTAACTACAAATTCAATTCCTTTGGCAGATTTCTTCTTGAGTGAGGCTTGGTAGTTTGTCTTTGAAGGAATGTGTTCATGTCATAATGGTCATTAAATATAGTGGCATGAAGTTGTTCAAAATATTCCCTTATTATCTTTTTGGTCTGTAGAAATGTTCTTTTTATCGTTTCTTATATTGGTGATTTGTTGTCTTCTTTTTTTCATGATCAATCTAATTAGAAGTTTACCAGTGTTACTGATCCTTCCAAAGAACCACTCTTGGTTCCATAATTTACTCTTTTATGGTTCTGTCTTTAATTTTATTGACTTCCACTCTTATTTTTAATACCCCTTTCATTTCACTTGCTTTGGAATTAATTTGCTCTTCTTATTCTGGGTTTTTAAGGTGAAAGGTTGGATCACTTTGAGTCCTTTCTTGATTTCTGGTATAAGCATTAAATAGTATAAATTCCCATCCAAGCACGGATTTAGTTACTTCCCCCCAAATATCGATGTGTTGTTTTTTTTTTCATTTTCATTCAAGTTAACTCATGGAAAATATTTTCTAATATGCCTTGTGATTTTTTTCTCCGAAGGCATGGCAGTTTAGAAATATCTTGTTTGGCTTCCAAATATTGGGGGATTGTCTAAATACTTTTGTTATTGATTCTTAGTCTAATTCTATTATGGTCAGAGAACACAATTTATGTGATTTCAGTTCTTCCACAGAAAGTTGTTTTATGGCTCAGTACAGCCTCTCCTTGTGAATGTTCCATGTGTACTTGAAAAGAACCTGTGATTTGGTGGAGTTTTCTATAATTATCAATTTGGTCATGTTGGTTGGTACTATTCTTAAGTCTTTATCCTTACTGATTTTGTTTTCTTGTTTTATCAGTTACTAAGAAAGCAGCGCTCATGTTATAATTGTATTCGTGTATTTTTGAAAAGGAGGGTTAACAATCTTGATCACCAATTACAATGTGTGGGGTTTTTTTCCCCACACATCCAGGCAATTCTTGGACACTAGCCAGGTATCGTATAATTCAACTCAATTTTGACACTATCTAGCTCAAGACAGCAGCAGATTCCACAAGTAAGGGCTAAGTCCCACAAGAATGCCTACCACTTCAGATGCCAATGACAAACCCATCTTATTACATGTGCTTCTGACTGACTGGTTATAAATCAGAGGTTGCCACAACCCCCATCTTCGTTTGATTAACTTGTTAGAGTGGCTCACAGAATTTAGAGAAACATTTTACTCACTACCTTACCAGTTTATTATAAAAGGATATGACTCAAGAATAGCCAGATGGGAGAGATGCATGGAGCAAGGTATTAAGTAGAAGGGTCAGGAGCTTCCATATCCTCTCTGTGCACACCAACCCAGAAAGCTCTCCAGACCCTATCTTTTTGGGTTTTTATAAAGGTTTCATTCATAGGCATGATTGACAAAATCACTGGCCATTGCTGACTGAACTCAATCTCTAGTCACTGTCCACTTCCAGCCTCTGGTAACCTAGGGGCTTTCCAAAAGTCCTCATTAACATAACAAAAGACAGTTTTTATCACTCCCATCACAGGAAATTTCAAGGGTTTTAGAAGCTTCGTGCCAGAAACAGGGCCAACATTGACAAATGAATGGATAAAGAAGATATGGTATACACACACACACACACACACACACACAATGGAATATTATGCAGCCATCAGAAAATAAAATCTTGCCATTTGAAACAACGTGGATGGAACTAGAGGGTATTATGCTAAGCGAAATAAGTCAATCAGAGAAAGACAATTATCATATGATCTCACTGATATGTGGAATTTAAGAAACAAAACAGAGGATCATAGGGGAAGTGAAGAAAAAATAAAACAAGACACAACTAGAGAGGGAGACAAACCATAAGAGACTCTTAATCATAGGAAACAAACTGAGGGTTGTTGGAGGGGTGGGGGTGGAGAGATGGGGATAACTGGGTGATGGACATTAAGGAGGGCATGTAATGAGCACTAGGTATATATAAGACTGATGAATCACAGACCTGTACCTCTGAAACCAATAAAACATTATATGTTAATTAATTGAATTACAATAAAAATTTTAAAAAAAGAAGCAGAGACAAAGACCAAATATATATTTCTTATTATAAATCACAATATCACTGGGAAACCTAGTTTTAGAATTATTTAAAATGGGTAACATGCTATGGACTCCGGGAAACAAACTGAGGGTTTCAGAGGGGAGGGAGGTGGGGGGATGGGTTAGCCGGGTGGTGGGTATTAAGGAGGGCACGTATTGCAATGAGCAATAGGTGTTACATGCAAACAATGAATCATGGAACACTATATCAAAAACTAATGAAGTACTGTATGGTGACTAACATAACAATAAATAAATAAATAAATAAATAAATAAATAAATAAATAAATAAATAAAATGGGTAACATGTTTTTAATCATTTTTGTAGTTGCTACCATTATAACACTCAAATTTTATTGTATTATTTATAGCTGGTAACATTTGTACATAGTCAAACTAGGGTCAGATTAACAAATTCACCATGGATTCTAAGCCTGTTGGCTTCTGGGTGAACAAATCTGTGTGAGGTATTGTTAAATTCATCATAAGGTGTCTTGATCTCAGTGGTAAGATATGTATTATTTGTGTTGACCACAGGTTTTAGAGTCAGATATATATGGGTTCAAATATCAGCTCTACATTACTTAATTCATTAATACTTAATGTAGCTATTGGATAACTCACTTAACCTTGCCATAACTCAGCTTCTTTGTTTATGAAATGGGAATAATAATACTCACTACTTGGAATTGTTGTGAGGATTAGAGTTAATACATACATATAAGGCACCCAGTACTTAGTAAGCAATAAGTGGTAGTAGTAGTTATAGTAGTAGGAATAAGTAATAACAGTGGCAATAGTGCTTTATTATTATTATTAAAGATATTATGTTAAAACATGTATAATACACTTACGTTATTGTTTAATGTATTATTAAATATTATATCTGCTGACATGCATGACTCACCATTTTCTTTCAGTTTTGTCAAATTTTCTTTCAGTTTCTCAATTTCTAGCTGAGCCTTCTCAAGGGCAGAATCTAAAGAAAAAAGAAAAAAATATATATATATATATTTTTTGTCCTGACAAAGCAAACTTTATTGTGGCCCCGAGGTTGGAGCTTTTCCCTCCAGGTCCTGCTGAGACTCAAGAGTTGGGGGTGAGGGCCCCTTGTGTCGCCCCCAACAGCTCCATCCCATTCAGACTCAGGTGGAGAGAGGCTGGGTGGGGGGAACCTGGGGAACACGCCGAGGAAGGCCACCCCGCATGTGCTCTAGCTGGCTCTCCCGCAGTCCCTGCAGCCAGGCCACTCCTGGCTCCTCATTTCTTGAATCCGGGCTTTTTAGGTTTGAGTGTGGGTTTGGCCTTTTTCACAGGACTCTTGTCTTTAAGCCTGGGTCTCACGGCCTCCTCTTCCTTTTCCACCTTTTTTTTCTTGGCAACACTTGTCTGCTTCTGGGACGCCAGCCTCTTGACTTGTTTAAGAGGGGTCTCCTCCTCTAGGGACACATCTACGTCATCGTCGTCGTCATCATCGTCAACCTCACCGCTGTCACCTTCCTCCTCCTCCTCCTACTCCTCCTCCTCCTCCTCCTCTTCCTCCCAGGACAGGTCTGCAGTGTCGTAAAGTTCCTGGCCACTAAGGAGCAAATGGTTAGTGTAATGATCAAATTTAAAATGATTCTCTTTCTTTGGAATACTCCCTTTCTGCTGATTGTCCTTTCAGTTTCTGCATAAATGTCACCTCCAGGAAACTTTTCCAGACTCCTTCTCTTAATGTTCCTACTGCACCCTATCATTATTCCTGATTATGTGATCATATACAGGAAATGTGGGATATGAAGCTGGATAGATAGGCAAGGGCCAAACCAGGAAGTCCTTAGACAGCTCAGTATTTTACAGAATAAATTTTTTATGGAGGCTTAAATTACTGAAGGTAATTGAGAAGTTCTGCAAACATTTGATTTCCACTTAAAAAAAAAAAACAACCTATATTTACAATAACACATACAGCCAAATATATCATATACCAAACTCAAATATATCAGAGACCACCAAATGCATTAATTCATGCTGCCAGGTTAGCTTCTCCTGTCATGTTTATGCAGATATTTGAAAATCATAGCTCTCCATCATGACTCTTAAACTAGTAATATTTCTGAAACTGTTGGTTTTAAGTTTCCGAGACCTCTCTATTTGACAGTTTTACTTCCCAAGTCTATTCCTTTAGTGGTTACCCGAGATATTTTTTTGGAACTTTTTTATTATGGAAAGTTTCAAACATATATAAAAGTAGATAGAACAGTTATGGAAATACCTATATCTATCATCCGGCTTTTAACAATTATCAAGCCATAGCCAATCTTGTTGCATTTACATCCTTAAATATTAAATACTTAGGTTTTTTTTTTTAAGATTTTATTTATTTATTTGACAGAGAGAGAGACACAGCGAGAGAGGGAACACAAGCAGGGGGAGTGGAAGAGGGAGAAGCAGGCTTCCCGCAGAGCAGGGAGCCCGATGCGGGGCTCCACCCCAGGACCCTGGGATCATGACCTGAGCCGAAGGCAGACGCTTAATGACTGAGCCACCCAGGCGCCCTTAAATCATTTTTTAATGCTGTATAGCAAATCACCACAAACTTAGTGACTTAAAACAACATCCATCTATCAGCTAACAGTTTTGTAGATCAGAAGTCCAGGAAGGTGTGGCCGGGTTTTCTGATAAGAGTCTTAGGAGGCTAAAATCAAGGTGTGAGCTGGATGTGTTCCTCTCTGAAGCTTCAGGAAAGAATCCATTTCCAAGCTCATTAAGGTTATGGGCTGAATTTGGTCCCATGGTTGTAGAATTGAAGTCTCCATCTTCTTGCTAACTGTTAGCCAGGGAGCTCTATCAGCTTTTAGAAGCAACCAACATTCTTTGTCACATGGTGTCTTCCATCTTCAAAGTCAGCAAAGGAGAATTTCCCTCACGTTGAATCCTTCTCACACTTTGAATATCTTTCACCAGGAAAAGACTAACCCCTTTTAAGGGCTCATCTGATCAGGTCAGTCTCACCCAGGATAATCTCTCTTTCTTAAAGGCAACTGATTTGGGGCCTTAACTACATCTGTAAAGGCTCTTCACAGGAGCATCTATATTGTTTTTGATTGAATAACTGTGAAAAGGTATGTGTTCACCAAGTGGGATTCTTGGAGACGATCTTGGATTTCTTACCACCTTTGCTTTTGGTTCTGAACTAACATTTCATTGCCTAATCCAAGATCATGAAGATTTACTATGTTTTCTTCTGAGAGGGTTATAGTTTTAACTCTTACATTTAGCTTTGTAGTCCATTTTGAGTTAATTTTTGTGTGGGTATTACGTAGGGGCCTTTATAAGGCAAATCCCAAAAACCATATCGCTCATCTATAAATATTTCACTATATATCTCTAAAAGATAAGAACTCTTTTTTAATATTGCTCATTATTTTACTTTATAGTTAAATTACAAGATAAGAACTCTTTTTAAACCTAAACTCCACATGTGGTTAAGGAAATTTAACAATTTCTTATATATCCAGTACATATCCACATTTCCAATTCTTTCACAAATTTAACAAATGTGTTTGAATCAGGATCCAGTAAAGGCCACACATTATAATTGGTTAGTAATTCCTTTAAATTGGGGCGCCTGGGTGGCTCAGTCATTAAGCGTCTTCCTACAGATCAGGTCACAGTCCCAGCGTCCTGGGATCAAGCCCCGCATCAGGTTCCCTGCTCCACGGGAAGCCTGCTTCTCCCTCTCCCACTCACCCTGCTTGTGTTCCGTCTCTTGCTGTGTCTCTCGCTGTCAAATAAATAAATAAAATCTTTAAAAAGTATAATAATAATTCCTTTAAATTTAAAAAATTCATCTTTTTCTTTCAATTTATTTATTGAAGAATACTCTAAATATTTGACATGAATTCTTTTTTATTCTTAAAAAATATCTTTGTTATTATTCAAAATTTTTAATTCCCATCCAAATTTTTGGAAATGATATAGAGAGAACTAGAAAATAAACTAAAATAGAGTACTTCATCCAAAAGAGTCATTTTGGGGGCACGTGGGTGGCGTGCCCATTGGCTCAGGTCATGATCTTGGGGTCCTGGGATCCAGCCCTCCATCAGGCTCCCTGCTTAGTGGGAAGTTTGCTTCTCCTTTTCCCTCTGCCCCTCTCCCCTGCTCCTGCTCTCTCTCTTTCAAATAAATAAAATCTTTAAAAATAAATAAATAAATAAATAAATAAACAAATCAGTTTGGTGAAAGAAGTAGACTAATAGTTGGTAAACACTGCCATAGAACACAGTTACCTAGAAATACATTCTGACTTATAAATTGATGACTCAAGAAGTTATACACATTGGTACTAATATATTTTATTTTATTTTTTGATACTACATATATTTTTAAAGGACTTGCTAATTCAGCTTCCCAACAGTCCCCCAGTATACTTACTGGGGAGACAGCTTTCAGTTAATAGTTTAGGATCTACCAGACTAACCAACTGCTGATGGAAGAGGGGGCCATATGATGGTGTTCTGTTGTGTCCAAATGTAACTAAGAGGAATGAGTGTCCTGCTTTACCTTTCTCCTTCTGTATTGCAAGCAGCAAAGACTGCTTCTCATCATACTCACATAGCCAAATTTCTTTTCTTTTTTTAAAATTGGGTGTATAGCTTGCATACAGTAAAATTCACCCTTTTAGGTGTACAGTTCAGTGAATTTTGACAAATATAATGGTGTACACACCAACCCTATAAGGATATAGAACACTATATTCCAAAAATTTCATTTGTGTTCACTGTTTAAAACACATTCTTTTTTTAAAAAATATTTTATTTATTTATTTATTTGACACAGAGAGAGAGAGAGCACAAGCAGGGGGAGCAGGCAGAGGGAGAGAGAGAAGCAGGCTCCCTACTGAGTAAGAAGTCCGATGTGGGACTTGATCCCAGGACCCTGGAATAATGAACTGAGTCGAAGGCAGATGCTCAACCAACTGAGCCACCCAGGTGCCCTTAAAACACATTCTTAACAAAATCTCAACCCTCCTGATATTCTTTGTTTTTAAATCCACATCAATTTGGCAGAATCTTTACTGTTTTAACATTTAACACTTTAAAGATATGATCCTAAAGTAACCTATACACTGCATTTGAAAATTGGCCCAATTTCTTAATCATTGTAAATAATAAATATAGAAAGGGGATAATTTTTAAAGTTTAAACTTTATTCTAAAATAAATTGTTGATAAAGGAAAGATTTAAATATAAACAATGAAACCCTAAAAGCACAATAAAACACTATAGGGATGAACACTTTAAAAAACCTTGTAGTGATATAGAAAAGGCTTTTAGAGGAGGAGCAAGATGGCAGAGGAGTAGGAGACCTAAATTTCGTCTGGTCCCAGGAATTCAGCTAGATATCGATCAAACCATTCTGAACACCTACGAACTCAACAGGAGATTGAAGAAGAGAATAGCAGCAACTCTCTGAACAGAAAAGTGACCACTTTCTGGAAGGTAGGACGTGTGGAGCAGTGAATCCGAGGCGATATTCAGGAAGATAGACCGCGGGGGTAGGGAACCTCTGTCAGCCGCTACTGGCAAGTGATAGAGCCCCGGAGCACAAAATCGGAACTTTTAGAAGTCTATTCCACTGAGGGATGTCGCTCCAGTGGCTAAGTGGGGGGGTGGAACCCTCGCTGGGACAGTGTGGTCTCAGGACCCTCAGGGTCACAGAAAGACCAGGGGTGCCTGAGTGTGGCAGAGCTCCCAGGTATCAGAGCGGGTAAGCCGGCTGCAGAGACGGAGCCGAGGGTGGGTTCTCAGCTCGGGGTTGCCATAAACTGTGATCCCCAGCACAGTCTAGCCATTGCTATTCCAGCAGGGATGCAACAAGAGGCAGATCCAGGGAGACTCCCCTTCCTCCCCTGGGAGGAGAGGCGCAGGAGCGCACCGCAGGAATTGGCTGGGTTTGGAGACTCCAAATGGCGTTGTGTGCCAGAGATAGAAA